CACATATACAAGGGATTAAGTGCAATCTATACACACACACACAGATAGATTGCACTTAATCTCTTGTATATGTGTATGTGTGTATATATATATATATATATTATATATAGCTGAGGTAACTACGGCATCAGCAAATTTTATTTATCAGGAGTCCTGGTGTGGTGCTATGGGTTAATGTGCCAGACTGCAAAGCCATTTGAACTGCAAGGTTGGCGGTTCAAGCTCACCAGTCACTCCTCAGAACCCTACATAGGGTCGCTATGGGTCGGAACCAACTCGATGGCACTTAACAACAACAACATGCACACACAGGGAGTCCTGGTGTGGCACTGTGGGCTAAGGCACTGGACTGCAAAGTCAGTTTGAACTCCAAGGTCAGCAGTTCAAGCTCATCAGCTGCTCCTTGGAAACCCTATATAGGGTCGCTATGGATTGGAACAGACTTGAAGGTATGTAGCAACTAAAAGAAACACACACACACACTCCAAGGTGCATGGACTATATTATAAAAGCACCTACTATTTTTTTAAAACTAATTTTTCTGAAGACAATTGCTAGTGAAAATTATGTTTTTCTGAAGGTACAGGCCCCATTTTTAGAGATTTCATATTGCTAAGTTGATTCATTACACCTCAATGTAAAGAAAAAAAAAATCCTCACCACTGGACCAATAAACAACATTCTTATCAACGGAGAAAAGATTGAAGTTGTCAAGGACTTCATTCTTCTTAGACCAACTATCAACACTCATGGAAGCAGCAGTCAAGAGATCAGATGACGTATTGCATTAGGCAAATTTGCTGCACAAGGCCTTTTTAAAGTGTTGAAGAACAAATATGTAAGCTTGAGGACTAAGGTGCACCTGACCCAAGCCATGGTGTTTTCAATAACCTCATATGCATGCCAAAGTTGGACAGTGATTAAGGAAGATCGTAGAAGAATTGATGCCTTTGACTTACGGTGTTGGGGGTGAATATGGAAAGGACCACGGGCTGCCAAAAGAACCAATAGATCCTTAGAGGCGAAGATGGCCAAACTTCGTCTCTCATACTTTGGACATATTGTCAGGAGGGACAAGTCTCTGGAGAAGGATATCATGTTTAGTAAGGTGGAGGGTCAGAGAAAAAGAGGAAGACCCCCAACGAGATGGATTGGCCAAGTGGCAGCATCCATGGACTCAAGCGTGGTAACAGTAGTGAGGTTGTCCCAGGTTTGGGCAGTGTTTCGTTCTGCTGTGTATAGGGTCGCTAAGGGTTGGTACCGACTCAATGGTACCCTAACAACAACAAGGAGAGTGAGATGTCAATATTGGCCTCCCATTCATGTGTCCATACGCAATTTGGGTTGTGCTCTATTTATTCACTATAACCTTTCAGCCAGCATCTAACACAGTCATCCCAACAATACCGAGATTCACTTTTAAGGAGCAATCCCTACCATACTGTGGAAGTCGTGGAGCTTAGAAAGTAACCCCTGGCTAGCAAGAAAATTATACTATCGCCTTACTACAGTGATTATTAAAAATACATCTAGCATTTAAAATTTTAAAATTTTAATTACAACAAAGAAAAAATAATAAAAATTTGGTAGAAATCTTAACACTCAAAGGTGATAAATCTTAGGAGAAAATACATATTTCAAAAATCTCTAGTGACTACTCAGTAACCATTAAATTACATTATGTAAATATATAAAGAGGCTACAAAACTCAGAAAAAAATTTTATTATCCTTCAATTCCATTTTTCTATGAACTGTTTGAAGTTCACTCCTCTATACTTTGTTGTTGTTTTTGTTGTTAAGTACCCTGGAGTCACTTCCAACTCATAGCAACCCTTATAGGGTTTCCAAGGAGCAGCTGATGGACTTGAACTGCTAACCTTGTGGTTCACATTCCAGTGCTGATTTTACAGTGCCACACCAGGAGTCCGTCATAAATATTTAGTAATCATTGTTTCTACAATGATATCTTTAAGTCACCATAGATGTTTGTGCTGTTTGTTATTGCTATTGTTAGGTGCCATTGAGTCAGCTGACTCATAGCAATCTATGCACAACAGAATGAAACATTTCTAGGTCTTGTGGCATCATCACAATTGCTGTTATATTTGAGCCCCTTGCTGTTGCCACTGTGTCAATCCATCTCAGTGAGGGTTTTCCTCTTTCTGCACTGACTTTCCACTGTTCCAAGCATGATGTCCTTCTCCAGGGACTGGTCCCTCCTAACAATGTGTCCAAAGTATGAGAGACAAAGTTTCACCATCCTTGCTTCTAAGGAGCATTCAAAGAAGAAGTTGGGTTGTTTGTTCTTTTGGCAGTCCATAAACATATGCTATATTTAACACAGTCCAAGTAAGCAAGTAAATAATTAAACTATTTAAGGAAAACTTTCTACTAAATGCTTTACATCTTAAGAGAATTGATTGGAGTATTTCATGTAAGCTTTTGAGGGCAAAGACTTGGCCTAATTCATTTCTGAATTGTGTCCTGGTGTTGCACCATAGCTTAGTGTCCTGGTGTGGCACCATAGGATAAACGCTGGACTGTGAACCACAAGGCTGGCAGTGCAAACCCATCAGCTGCTCCTTGGAAACCCTATACAAGGCTGCTATGAGTCAGAACCAACTTCATGGCACTTAACAACAACAACAAAGTATGGAGGAGGAAGCTTCAAATGCTCAACCTCAGGTTGCTTTGAACATCAAGTTCAGTGGTTCAAACTCACCAGATGCTCCTCAGAAACCCTATAAGGGTCACTATGGAACTGATTCATTAGTTATAAGTAGGTTCCAATTCATAGCAACCCATATAGGAATTCTGAGGAGTGGCTGGTGGGTCTGAACCAGCGACCTTATAGTTATCAGTCTACTGCTTATAGCACCACAACAGGAGTCCATTGGTTGTAGTGGTGGCAATGTGCCCTCTAGTCGGTTCCAACTCATGGCAACCCTGTAAAGGGTTTCTGAGACTATAAATCTTTATGGGAGTAGGACGCCTCATCTTTTTTCTGTGGAACAGCTGATTGATGAATACAAACTGCTGACCTTGTGGCTAGCAGCCCAGCACATAACCCACTACACTACCAGGGCTCCTTGTTGTAAATAAATAAATTAAAGTATGCAAGGGAATTGTTTGACATTCCCTTAATATTTAATAAAGAAAAATTGGTAAGAATAAAAAAAATCTGTATACATAGGGACAGTCATATTTTTAATAAGATACAGACATACCTCATTTTACTGTGCTTTACTTTATTGTATTTCACAGAAAGTACATTTCTTACAATTTACAGATTTGTGGCAACCCTGTGTCAAGCAAGTCTATTGACACCATTGTTCCAACAGCAGGTGCTCACTTCTTGTCTATATGTCACTGTTGGCAATTTTTACAATATCTCAAACCTTTTCATAGCGCTACTGCATATTCAAAAGATTACAGTATATTGTGAACATAACTATTTAGGCACTGGGAAGTATAAGAATTCATGTGGTGTGTTTTATTGCAACATTTGCATTATTGCAGTGGTCTAGAACCAAAGCTGAAACATCTCTGAGATATATCTGTGCTCAAATTGCAGTGTTATTTTCTGTATCTTAAGGTTATTTGCTGAAAGCTACCCCTTTCTTCAATATTCACATGGGGGAACTGAAAATTAGTATCACATCTCAGATCTGGAAAGTGGGCCGACACAGGCCAAATAAGTGTAATATAAGAAAGGGGGGGGGGTGGAGTTAGAAGAAATTGTATTTAAACAGCAATGCTCACCACAAAGTCCTTCTGTATGAGACGACATGTTAAATTGGACCCCAAAATGTATGTCCATAATTCCCGTAAGGTGAACCCACTTTATGATGAGTCCAGCTGGAGTAGTAATCACGTACATTGTACCAGAATCCTCTATGAAGAGTTCATGACTTGTAAAAGGCAAAGGTACAACAATAGAGTCCACTTCTATCTAAAATAGTACAAATACACCTTTTAGAAAAAAAAATTATGGTTCAATATACATTCACAAAATTAGAGCATCTACAGTTTTCCATTTCTTTGAATCTAATACAAACTATTTTGATTTTTTTTAGTTTATTTGCTATTGCCACAACTTCTCATAACTTATAAGTTCTTTATCTTTACTGCTTTGCTGTGTTCATTCTAATCTCGTTGCCTTTTTAATTTTTTCTAAATTTAACTTTGTTTTATTTTATGTATACTTTTATGTCTGCTTCCCTCAAAATATGGTTGATTACACCATTACTCTAAAAAAAAACTTAAAATAATAATGTTACTTTGAGGATGTTTTCTTTAATCTGAGTTCTCTCTTTGGGCTTCTAAAGCAGTATTTTAAAATATATAATATTTATCATAAATATCTGCCAAACTAGATTTGGGTTGGGGGATGAAACTGTAATTTCAGCATGCAACTGGGTAATATGAATATAGAGAGTCCAAGGATTACACATCTCATGTTCTGAAAAGTGTGTAAAACCACACTTTAAATACTGGCAGAGACTTGAAACCATGTGCTATAATTAGCAATGCATTTCTTAAATTACACTTCATCAATCATCTATTTTCCTATCTTTAAATTACTCAGATCCCCGCCTTGGGATTGAAAGCCTCCTTCCTCTTCTTTTCTGTCTGGTTAATTGCCACTCATTCTTTTAGATTTATTTTACTTGTTACATCCTCCAAGGAGCCTTATTTACTAAGCACTGAACCACAGGGTAGTTTGAATCGCAAGATTGGAGGGTCAAATTTACCAGCTGCTCTTCGTAAACCCTATACCAGGTCACTGTGAATCGGAATTGACTGAATAGCACTTGACAACAACTAGGCACATTAAATGACACTTCTGTTTCTGTATCTTGGTCATAACTCTATCACTCTGCCTCCTTTTACATTTATGCCTTCTCTCACACAACTATAAATTCCTTGAGACCAGCACTTGTGTCATTTTGTAACGAAAACTATCCATGCTGTTGTTGTTTTTAAGTACCATGGAGTTGGTTCCGACTCATAGTGATCCTGAACAGGGTTTCTGAGGCTGTAAATCTGGGAGCGGAATGCCTCATCTTTCTCCTGCAGAACCACTGGTAGTTTCAAACTGCTGACCTTGAGGTTGGCAGCCCGACTTGTAACCACTAAGCTACCAGAGCTCCTTAGATGACTTTAAAGTAAATTATTTTTAATACAATAAGCCCTGCAACCCAGATATTCAAAATAACGGCACTATTAGATCTGAGCATTTTATTATCACCTGCTTCCTGTTAATATACATACTTCACCCGAATCACAGTTATATACTATTATCCAAAAAAGTACCTCACTCACATATTTGAAGTCTTACTTCAACACTGTATTCTATTTTAAGCTTGTTCTAATATTACTTCCAGTCTAAAAATCTATAGACCTGTGCTAACAGGCAGAATTATTTTCAGAAAGCACATACCTCATCCATTTTGAGCAAAATATTTATACTTTTTTGCTGCTGTTTATCTTTTAGAAAGAACCATTTAGATATGAATGAAGTATCCAGATCTTAACTCCTGGTGTGGTGCTGTACGATTGGCACAGGACTGTAAATCACAATATTGGCAGTTCAAACCCACCTCAGAAACCCTATACAGGGTCCCAATGAGTCAGAACCAACTTGACAACACTTAACAACAACATCCATTAAGCACATATTCCTGGAGGTAAAGATTTTTCTTGTAAAACCGAATAACTGCTTTTCAAATTATTTATAATGTATTGCTCCTCTTCATTTTCAGAAAGCATTTAATAAAATAGTCTTCCTCATTTTTTATTTTTACTATTACTATTTACTGAAAAATTAATGGTATCTTAATATTTCAAAACTATTTCTTAGAAATGTTTTGAAATATTTAGCTAGCCCTTTCATTTTTATGATCCCTATTTTTTTTTTTTTTTTTTTTACATCCTATCCATTTTTTCTAATTCGAAGCACAGATGTTAACTCTGGCACTAAGAAATTTGGCTACTCTCATTATCTGAGAGGTCTGTAATGTATTTAATGATGTATTTAATTTAACAGTTAATGTCACAAAGAAGTGTTTGCAACAATTGACTCATTATAGAGTGGAAATTAATATGAAGAAACATTATTAAATTGTTAATGAAAGAATGTTTTCATGGAATAGCTTAAGTCCTGGTATGGACTTCCAATCACAACATTGGTTCAAATCTGCCAGCTGTTCCTCAGAGACCCTAGACAGGGTTGCTATGAGCTGGAACTAATTCAACAGCACTTAAAAACAACAACAATGGAATAGCTATGAACCTCCATTGATATATCCAATTTTCCTTCTTGTTGGAAATAAATGCTTACTTCATTTCTCATTTTCATTTAATTGTGAGGAAATTAACTTTCTATAACTTTATGTTCTTACCTTTCTCTGTAAGCGGTTGACAAGTATTTTATGTAAAGATGTTGTCAGATTTAACTCCTTAAAACAAAGTCCAGAGATCCTTCCAGAAGAAGACTTAATTTGAAAAAAAAAAAAATTGTGGAGTAAAACATAATTTTAGCAATACATACAATGAATTTAGTAAATGTTTGGCAAATACTTACTAGCTTTTTTAATGAGTTCCCATTCTGAAAAACAACATATAGGGCAAAAAATTAACTATGTATTATTTGATTTTTAAAGCATTATTTTGATTAATATTATCTGTCTTTAAGTATACGTATATAAAACACTTTTTGATTAAGTATCAGATGACTCTTAGTGAATCCTTTGGTTCTTTTTTGTTCTAAGAATTCCTGCTATTGTGATATAGTTAAACTATATGGATTTATGAAGAAATGACTACAAGAATGAATCATGACCTACCTGATTTATGGAACACTTTTCAATATGAGCAACTATAATTTCCCCAGGAACCCTTACTAAGATATAAGAAGCCATACTGTATAATGCTGCACTGTTTCCATCAAAAGTAATAATGCTTAATTCTGACAACACGGAACACCGACCTAAAATGAAAAATAAAACGTTTTAAATGGAAGACAAAGTCCATTAAGAGTTTAGTAATAATTGTTCTTCTAAACAATATTTTAAATTAGCTTAACTATGTTCCACAGAGATACACACTGGAAACCAGGATCAAAAAGAAGGAAATTTTTCTTTAGAATAAAGGAAAGACAACAACAATAACTGCAAACTGATGAATTTTTAGGTGCCCCACAAAAATGAAAATCACCTCTGATTAATACTCAATTATCATGAAAGGAAAAGCTGCCAACTTACAAGGGCACTCCCACTCAGGACAGCAGATATCACTGTTGACTTGAACAGGCCTTCCACGGAAACCACAGTCAGGCATGTCTGAGACCTTTGGACAATTAAGTGACCAGTTGTACAATTTCCATTCCATATCAAGGCATATATATTGGCTACAATTATAAACAGGATCAAATTCTTGAGGCTGTTAATAGAAAAAAAAATAGTGTATTTTTTAAAGTTTTCAATACTGTTTTTTTCAACTTATTTTACAACTTCACATTCATACTGCATATAGTATCGTTTTAAAACCTTAATAAAATAATTAAAATTTCACTTCAATTTTGGGTTCATATTGTTGTTGTTATGTGCCGTGAAGTCGGTTCCAACTCATAGCGACCCTGTACAGGGTTTCCGAGGCTGTAAATCTTTACAGGAGCAGAACACCTCATCTTTCTCCCGCAGAACAGCTGGTAGTTTCGAACTGCTGACCTTGTGGTTCGCAGCCCAATTCGTAACCACTACGCTACCAGGGCTTCTTTGGGTTTATATAATCTCTCTAAAATACTCAGCATGGGTGTAGTTTAGCCTTCACCTTAATATTCATTTGATACAAGAATTTTTCATATACTTAGACATAGGAACAAAATTAAGTCTTTCCATAAATTTTCTAATCTATCTATACTAGAAAGCAAGTTTCACAGCTTTTTCTGACATCCATTTTGATCTTTTCCTTCTTTCCTGTCTTCTTAATGACTTTTTGCTTCTTCTATGATGTTCTTAATGTCACCCACAGCACTTCTGGTCTTCCATCATTGATGTCTTATGTCTCGATGATCTTTAAATTCAAATGGAAAGTTTCCAAGTTCAAATACTGGCTCTCATGGACCTGTTTTAATTTTCTTTAGCTTCATCCTGAACTTGAATATGAGCAATTGATAGTCTATTCCACAATCTACCCCTGGCCTGGTTGTGGCTGATGATACAGAGCTTTTCCACTGTCTATTCCCACAGATATAGTCTGTTTGATTTCTGTGTATTCCTTCTAGTGAGATCTATGTGAAAAGTTGTATGTTTTATTGTTCAAAAAAGGTATCTGCAATAAAGAAGTTATTGGTCTTGCAAAACTCTATTATCCTGTCTCCAGCATCATTTCTTGCAAAATTTTATTATGTGTTCTCCAGAGCCATTTCCATCACCAAGGCCATATTTTGCAACTACTGCTCCTTTCTGTTTCCAACCTTTGCTTTCCAATCACCAGTAATTATCAGTATATCTTGATTTCATGTTTGATCAATTTGGACTAAATTGGCATTTGTAAGCAGACTTACCCAGTTGCAGCCAATCTTTTTTTTTTTTAAATGGGAGAACATTAGTTTTACATTCATCCTATCGTATATCATTTCATTGCCATGGTTACAATCCCCTCCATGCATCATCATCCAACCAAAGGGTATCCCCTCCAATCTTACTCCCCTCCCCCCCAGTCGTCAGCACACAGCCCCTCTCCCTCTCTAGGTCTAAATTCCCCAGCTGCTCCATCTCTCTACATCATCATCTCTGCTTCCATTTCTGGCATCACTGCTTCTTTGAGTAGGGTCCTGCTCTCTGCTCTTCTCCCTTGATGGTCCCAGGACCTCGGTTCCTAGACTGCAAAGTTAATCACTCCTCTCCATGTTACAAAATGTCTGCCTTTACATTTCCAACACTCACAATCAGTCCTGATAAAAATTTTTCACTATTGTATCACAAAAGACCTATCTGCATTTCCTTTCTTCAGCCCAGCCTAGACAGATTGGATACCACTCAGTGGAGACTCTACCTTCCTTCACACCATCTGGATCTAGGAT